CTGCTCCCTTTCTCAGCCGTCATAGAAGCAGCGTCGACCGCCCAAGGATTACCGCTGTTCATGACTAAGGCCACCCTCGCCGGTGGAGTGGGAGGTAGAAGACCGCCAGAATACTCCCCCTTTCCTTGGCATGGCTCAAAATGCAACTCTTTCCGATTGTCTCCTTCCTCTGCATGGCTTTCCGCTGTCCTGCCGAAGCACTCATCCACCCAGTTACAATTTGACACCTGTGCACGAATCAGCCCAAGCAATGTTTTTGGTTTCAAAACAAACATATAACTAAACTTGCAGTTCAATTTCGGGCTCACTCACCTTTTCCTCATTTGGTACTGACGATCGATTGGCTAGTTCTAAAAAGCCGTCTTCACCACCCGAACTGCGATAGGGCATTTGCAGGGGAGGAGGGAGACCTAGCGAGTTGCTACCACCGGGGCTGGAGGAGTTCTCAGTGCCCGATAACCGTGTGCCGCCATTGGCTACCGCACTTCGACCCGACTGCAACGGAGAAAGACTGGGAAGTTTGGGGCTTCCACTCAGAGAAAGCTGTCGTTGTGCTGTATGCCTAGAGGAGGACGTTTTTCGGAGCGACTCGTGCCCTAAACCAGGACTCAGCATTTTCTGCACCATCGCATCCAGTTCCGCAAGCCGCGAAAAACCCTCCGACTTCGAAATGGAGTAAGTAGACGACTGAGGCAAATGCGTTGATGTCCTTGGTGATGCGGCGTTCTGTAAGGTAGCTTTCTGTTGAGACACAGCGTAACATATTTGTCTTGAATGGTTTGGCTTAAATTTCGATCACTTTAATACAAACAGACTTTTGAAGATCCCGAATAAAACACCAAAATTTAAGTGTGTAGCATTTAGAATGAAAAGCATTGAGTATGATGCAGACATTTGCTTACAGTCATGCCGTTAGAAATTTTGGAAACTGGGGTAGAAGGGGGAATTGGAGAAAGATTTTCCAAACGCTTTAGACGCAGTGCCATCTCCTGAAACCCTTCAGAAAGGTTCCTGTTTTGGTTGAGGAGCTGTTCAATTCGATGCTGAAAAGATAGAAGTGATGGATTTACTGTTGTGGGTGGTATTAATACAGAGTTCTAACAAGAGTTGAGCCATACCTGACCCTCCATGCGCGCTGCAGCCTCCAATCTGAGTTGC